AGCTCAAGATAACTTTTTATGCACTCTGGATACCAGACCCGTATCAGGACTGAGACTGTTGTTTTCTAATACCACAAAATTAGTATCTCCCTTTCTTGTATCTGTGAATTTACATTTCCTCAAAACCATCCCTGACTTTGTACCTAGCCTTCTCTTTTTCTTCAAGAGGTACAAGAAGATGTTTTGTAGGGAACCGTGTTGGCCTGGCTTAGCTGTCTTGAGAGGCCTGCATCATAGGTTTTCAGGTTAGAGTCCATGCTTCCTGGGGCCCTGTACCTTCCAGTTCCTGAGAGACTGGCCCTCTCCCTCAGGTAGTGAAACATTCAGGCCACTTGGTGTTTCTCTGTATGTTCCCTTAGTAGTCAAGGAAGCATAGAAGCTTGACAGGACAATTGGTGCTAGACATTAATCTTGTGTACCCTTTATAACTTGCAAACGTCATTGAATCCTGGCAGCTACAACTGTATTGATCCTGGCAATGCCATTATATTCTGTTGCTGATAAAGATATAAAAAGCCTAATTGCTCTCAATAAAATTGCCACAGCTTAAGTTTTATGAACCCTCCAACTGGCCTGGTTTCATTTCTCATGCCCCAGTAAGTAAGCACAGGCACTTACGATGTTTTATACAAGTTACAGACCCCCACTTACAACTGTATCAGCAAGAAGTATATTCAACCATGTGACCATGATCTAGGACTTCATGACTCCTGCAAGAAATCTGAAGTGGCTGACCCAGGACCAGGCCGATTTTCCTATACCCTTTGCTGTGCTCTTCCCAAAAGGTGTACCAACCAGACCGGCCTATGGTTGCCATCAGGAATAGATGGAGGTCATGCATCCTGAATTTTCTAAGTAAATATCTGTTACCACCTACCCCTTGATTATCTAGAAAGTAGTTAAAAGAAAAAGGTTTCTTTCTGGGGACAGTTGGTTTTCATAACCAAAATATAAAGATGAGGAAAAAATAAGAGAATGAATCAGAATTTTTGTTTGTTTGGGTTTTTTTTGTTTGTTTGTTTTGTTTTGTTTTTGTATTATATGGCTCTGGCTGTCCTAGAACTTACTATATAGACCAAGTTGACCTCTAATACAGAGATCCACCTGCCTAGAGTCAACTTTTAGAGTTGATGTTTGAGGAAGACTTTTCAATGTTCAATAATCCCAGATGTCTGTAGACAATAGGAAACATGGAGGTTGCATTCAATATTGTAGACTCCTGGCCCCTTGTTCAGTGGCTTTAGCAATAAAAGGTATATTGTTGGCTGACTGCAAACTGTCTGAAAAGTTTGCTAAAAACATGACAAGATTACTTTCAAGATTTACAGTAGTGTGACCCAGGTTAGTTGACCTGATGGGAATGGCAACAATATAGTCACCTGAGAATCACAATCACAGGACACCATCATAGCTCCAAGAGGCAATCAAAACTCCACAATATATCAAATCTGCCATAAGAGAGCAGGGGAAATGTCCCAGGTAGAGTGATCTCCTTCATTACAAGATAACTGTGTCAATTTTTTGGCAAGAGCCACACAGAAATGTTATCTTGTTGGATTTATCCCAGTAGTGGAGCACTTGCTTAACACTGGAAGCAATAACTAAGAAGTGGAGTCCTCTTCTCTGTCTTTATTGGTGGATACATTGCTTTCTCCAACTCATGGATGCAACTTCATTAGGAGCCCTTGTAGATATGAGTGATAGCCACCTTCAGGTTAGGAAGAAGGGCCTCAAGAGTTTATGTTCCTAAGAGTGAAGATAATTTGAGGTGGTTTGGTTTTAATTTTGTTGCTCTTAGCATACAATTGGTTTACACAGAAATTTGTCAAAGTCACTTTACAATTGGAAAAGAAATTATATAGCTGAAAACGGAATGCATTCTAAAGCTGTACAGGATATAGAGTCAGAGGAATACTATCCACAGTATAGCTCCATAACTGACATCTTAACCAGGTGACAGAATGTGAAAATATTTTCTTGAGTAAAATTCCTAAGACTTTGAGTTGAACTAAACCAACTACAACTGGTTCAATACCAAAATTTAACTATCTACTAAGTAGAAAAGGGCCTTTTACTATTAAAATATACAAGTAATGTGTATTTTTCTTTTAATGTAGCCATAATTTTTCAACCAGGTAAATCGTATGATACTTTATATTTTATATTTTATGATCTAAAACTGGAAGGGGAAACTGTGTGTAGGTTCTATAAAATAACAGCAAGCTTTTCCTTGCCACCTCCAAGTCCTGTAACCCAGGAGTATTATAGATTTTTAGGGGCATCAAGTCTTTGAACATAGCAGGTTTTATGACAAAAATCCATCCCAAAGAAATATTATTTTGGTAATATTTAAATTTCCCTAATCATTCTCATGCATATATATTTGGGGGTCATTACATAAAATACTGAATAATTTGAAAACTTTTTATTTTGTATTCAGTATGGATATTTATTCCCAAAGTGGGGCTTTTCTGATGCAAAATTGGAATGCTTGTGTAGTCACAACAGCTGTCCCCACACCATGTGGTATCTTCCATTACTTTACTGTAGCGATGAATTTTTGGCCCAGTGTTTCAGTAATATTGGACACACATGGTTTTAAGTGGCAAAGCAGTATGCTTATGCATTCATTTGACTTTCACAGCTCCAGTTGGCTCTATATTAGAACAAGGAAAATACATTCATACCACGGCCACCCTCATGGCTGCTGGAGTAGCTGGATCACAGTGGGCTCTGTTCCTTCTAAAGACACCACTAACTATTGCTGAGGAATTACACATTCACCAAAGGGCCTTGCAGCTGTAGGAGAGGGAATAATGAGTAGCTCAAAGACCACACTCAGATTTCAGCCCACGGGTTCTTATTATTACCCATCTTTTAACAATAATAGTAAAAATCATGGCCATGAAATAACTAAAACTGAAAGGAAGTTTGCTGAGGCAGTCTTCTTTTTCAGATTTTTCAATACAGGTATTTGATTAAATTAAATATTGCTTTCCCAGGAAAACAGTAGTGCTGTGTTGTTAAACTCATTAACAAGAAACTAAACTCTGATTGGCTTTTAATATCGACTGTTTATATATAGGTTATGGGAGTCCAGTCCATTAGAAATAGAAGATTTGCCCAGATTTGTGTTAAAACTGATGTGGGTATCAGGTGATGTGTGGTGTGATTTTGGCTTGAGTCCTGTTTCATCTTAATGGTCTTCATAGCTTGATTTTGCACTTCAGCTTATATTTAAATTCTCCTCAAGCTTAACCCCTTTGCATGTCGGTATACTTATTAGAGCTTTGGATTTTAACAATATGAATAATATTTCCTTTGAAAATCTAATTTGTTACTCTAAATGATATCTAAATAACTCATTTTTCCTTAAATAAAGCAAAAGGAAAGGAAAACTCCACTGTGTAATTTTTAGCTTAAGTGATACAGAGAATTAAATTTCTGATCTTCATTAAATATCAAAGAAATTCTAGCCAGATCCAGTGAAGACTACCTTTTTATATAAGTGAGTTTATGCATGTATTGTAGGGGCTGTACTGATGAATATGTTCGAGGCTTTCAGCCCTTAGTGGATACAAAATAGAATGATTGATAAAATCCTCCCTACTATTGGCTATTATTTACTGACTCTTAAGTGGCAGGTTGTATTTATGCCAATTTATCTGCTTCAGGGAACATTCTTGATAGCAGAACAAAGTGAATAAAAGTAGTTTGCTTTGCAAATGAATGCAAATAGGAAAGCTTTTCGGGAAGCCCTTTAACAGGGGCAGTGCACTGATTATGAGTGAAGCTGCCATTTGGACATGGTGAAAAGAGCATGCTTGAACCATTGATTGGGGGAGACAGTAAAAAGTCAGGAAGGGCCCCTTTGGCTTGCAGTGAGGCAGGCGGATGTCAGTGTGGTTAGAGCACAGAGGGAGAATGACAGGGAGGATTAGTGTCAGGGAGAGGCTGTGCTGGGGCTTGGAGATAGTCCCTGGGGTCACTCACCGCTAACTGTTGTTCTGTGCTGATGGCTCTGTAATGCACACTGCCTGATGGATGCCTGTTCATTATCGGAAATGGTGATTAGAAAAGGTATTTGTTTCTAAGATTTTCTCCACTACCTTTCTTCTCCTCTACCCTTGCCTTTCTTTTTAATTAAAGGGAAATGAGGTGGGCTTCCTTCGTCTCTCACTATTTAGTGCCAGAGTGGCCTCTGATGAGTAGTAGCTTATGCCAGAATATGGTTGTCATATTATGGAGATTTTTTTTCCTTATCCAACAGTGATTTATGTTTATTTACTTGGTTTTAAGTTTTAACCATTGGTAGTCACTAGTAGTGAAATTCAGAAATATGTTGCTGCTAGAATTTTTGTGCAGTTTTGTAATCTTTAAGCTGTTTCCACTGTTTCAACTATGAAAAGCTTTGCATGGACTGGAGGGTTCACATCTTGGTGTACGAGTTCCTAATCTTATTTGTTCTCATGTTTTAAAGAATGCTAGCATTTGGCAAATTAAAAATTTCTAAAGTTGAATATTGTTATTGTTACATAAAGTGAGCACAATTATGATTCTCAATGCTTTTATCGTCAGATTTTCATGTATACATCTAAGGACCATTTTGTTTTCTTTTATAATGTTTTTTACTTAAAAACTGTACTAGTCATGTTATGTGAACTATATGAGCAGTACAATATTTTGTAGCAAGAATTTTTTATAGGCTTTGATAATGTTCTTTATTTTAATGTAAAATTGCTCTTTTTTTAAAGTGTCTTCAAAAACATGGTTCTGTATTATGCAGTACTTCAATTTTCTTATATGCATACAAAAATCTTTCAGAGACTGCTGGGACTCCATTCTGCCAATAAAGATGCTGCCTCAGCCTTTGACTAAGCTTAAATACATGTTTAGTACTATTGGTCATTGCAGAAAGGGTTCTGCCAATAATTGTTTCACAAGCTTGTTAGTGTTTTAGGAAGCATTTTTCTCATTACTTTTTCTTTAATGTTTTACAGGCACCTGAATGGACAGAAGAGGACCTCAACCAGCTGACAAGAAGTATGGTTAAGTTCCCAGGAGGGACCCCAGGTCGATGGGAAAAGATTGCCCACGAATTGGGTCGATCTGTGGCAGATGTGAGTTCACTGAGATTTGCATTGTATGGGGAGTAACAAACCGGAACAAGCCAACTATGCACTTAGATGGGTCCTGGGTTATCTGTGGAGAAAGGACCTGGGACTGAACCATTAATGAAATAAACAAGAAGCAGATGTGAGTCCCTCCCCTGCTCCATAGTATAACAGCAGTGTGAAGAACTCTAGTGTTCAGAGACTTGAGCTACTGAAACCCAATCATAGAAAACAGTGTTAGGTTCTGTGTTTATATTGACCCTTTAATCATGGAAAAGACAGTTTTCAAAATGATCAGAATTAGAGAGGTGACATTTCAGCCTTAACCCTAAAGTACAGATTGCTGGTGTATTTAGACAGGTGGTTGGGATTAATGAGATAAGCACTAGACTTAGTGCAGATGGAATGTTTCTTTCCAGGATGCTACTGACCATTCACTTTGGCATGCCTGTGTGAATGTCCATACCTGACACCTAGAAGACAAAGTGCTGATGTAGGACCTTTTGACACAGCACTTTAGATGCTTTCATTCAGGGAATCTACAGTAGAGCGCCTGACATGTGCTAGATCTTCAAATATATAATTAAGAGTGAGAGTGGGACTCAGTTGTCTCAGTTATCAAATTGATACTTGTGCAAAGCATAGTAAATACCCTTTATTAAGTTTCTTTAAATACATCTTATGGTTAAAAGTTCTTCAAAGAGTTGCTAAAAGCAAAGATTTAAATTTCCTCTTTAATTCTGTTAGCATGTCTTTAGGCCTTTTTTACAATGAGCACACATTTTAAGGAGCACACTAGTAAAACACAGCTACCAAAACAATGAGATTTGTTATGATTGCTGTAATTTATTTTCCAGAGTAAACTTCTGTGTATTTTAATTTATAAACAAACATAAATATTTTCAAAGTACTGTCAAGTTTTTTTCTATTCCTCTTTTCTTTTTGGTTAGAACTTCCATTGAGAATTTTACATTACATATATTTACATATGTATGTATGTACATATAAGTATGATCATGGGACAAAAGTTACTATATCTAGTAACAGATCATTTCTGTGGTTTTGTGAAGTGACCAGTTATCTTTAGAAAAACAATAGTATGCTAATTAGTGCTTTCTTCTTTTTTTTTTATTTTCCATTTTAAATTTAGATAAGAAACAAGGTTGCTTCACAAGTCAGTTCCAGGTCCCTCTCCCTTTCCCTCCCCTCCTCCCGTGCCCTCCCCCAACCCCCCCCGTTATCCCCTCATTCCCCCAGGGAGGGTGAGGCCCTCCATGGGGGTGTCCATAGTCTGTCATTTCATATAGGGCAGGGCCTAGACCCTTCCCCAAGAGTTCAGGGTGAGAGTGCACCTCACATTGTTCTATGGGAGTCCAAAGTCTGTGTGTATACTTGGGATGGGTACTGATCTTCTGCTGCCCAAGGCTCAATAGATTACCTAGGCCTCCTCACTGACACCCAGATTCAGGGGGTCTTGATCAGTCCCATGCTGGATTCCCAGGCTGATGCCTGGGATTCAAGAGTTAACCTTTGTCTGGTCAGCTGTTTCCAGGGGTTAAACCAGCCCAGTCTTAATCCCTTTGATCATCAGTCCTCCCTCTCTGTTACTGGCTTTCTTGAGTTCAGCTCAGTACTTAACCGAGGGAGTCTGCTGCCTTCTTAAAAGGTAAAGAATGGCAGCTCATGCCTTTTAATCCCAGCACTCCGGAGGCAGAGCTAGAGGCAGTCAGATCTCTCTGTAAGTTCTAGGCCTGCCTCCCTGGTCTACAGTGAGTTCCAGGACAGCTAGAGTTGTTACACAGAGAAACCCTGTCTCAAAAAACAAACAAAAAGGTTTGTTTAAAGTAGATTCAATAATTTACCCTTTTATCCTATCCTTTCCATATCCCTCCTTTTATTTACTCATTTACTTATTTATTTTCCAAGAAAGAGATCCTTGAAGCCTACCTCCCTTGCTTAGTTTCCTCCCTTACCATGACCACTAACTCCCCTAAATGATGACAGGCATTCATAACCCACTGAACAGCCAAAAAAATCACCAACCCCATCTCTTGGAAATGTGGGTATCATGTTCTCTAGACTGCTTCCTGTTGTCTGGGGGCAGTGACATCTTTATGATACCCTGAGAAAATTGGGACAATGATCAAGTCCTGGGAGAACTAGCTTTATCATTTGTTGTCCAGGCTCTATGCGATGGGAAAGTGTAGAGCTTATCTGAAGTCCTGGCTGGAGTAGTCTGTGGCTGAACCGTCTCAGCTAGCAGATTTGAAGTTATTATGGATGTAGATTTTTGAGGAAACTGCAACAGATCTAAGAGGTTAGATCACTTGGGCTACTTGTTTTGAAAACATTTAAACTTTTAAAGGTAACATATATATAATCTGCATTATTACTGTTAACAGACAATATTATTCCATACTATTAACAAGCATAGAATGTGCAGTGTGCACAAGTCAGCTAAAGATAATTTGGTCAGCTAGTTGCTATAGCTAGCTCTACCCTCTGATTCAAGGTAAACTTTATTGGCACAGCAGCGAGGCAATGCAAAAAATTCTCCTGCAACATGAAGACTCAGCTAACTTTCTTAAAGTATTTTTTATATTTGGTAATTTTATACACGAAATTGTCATATTGTGTTTTTTATTTTACTTATATATTTTATGTGTATGGGTGTTTTGCCTGCATATATGCCTGTGCACCACACTAGAGGATGATATATCCCTTGGGACTGGAGTTGCAAACAGATGTGAGCTGCCGTGTGGGTGCTGGGAATTAAACCCAGTCCTCTGAAGCTAGCACTCTTTTCTATTGAACTGTCTCTCTAGCCCCCAGCAGATTTGTTTCAGCAATGCCCAAGAAAGACTTGTGAACCAACTAACCAGCTGAAGTGGTTTCAGCTGGTACAATTCCTTTAGTAGAATGTTAAGTGAAAGTTAATCACACTTTAAAAGGCCACTTACACTTCTTTTGGGCTTGCAGCGTTAATTAGATGTGTTGTCATTAAGTTTTGATTGTGGAAGAGAAGCCAGGTTCCTTTGGCGGTCACCATCTCCTCTTACAGCACACCAGCCTGATCTTCTGGCTGGAGTCCAGCCCATGTCTGCACAGCTGTTATTTGACCCTGTTTCCCTGCTAAATGTGTAGCTTCAGGCTTGCTTCTTTCCTTCCAGAAACAATTGACCTTTTACAGGGAAAGGTGAGAGTGTATGGCTCTTTATTTAGATTGTTAGATTCTAGTAAAAAACCTATTTTTTTCCTTCAGTTTAAAAGAATATGTTACTTGTCATAATTAGAGTTAAATTATTAAATTCTACCCAGGATAAGTACAAGCAGTATTTTAATTTTTTTACATAAAGTATTTTTTAACTCAGGTAAACTGTGAGGCCAACTTTATTGAGGCTTAAATTTTAAATGTTAATTACATGCCTTTCAGCATATAATTTTAGTAACCACAAAGGGCACTCAAATTGTAAAAACAACAAAGGAAACAAAAACTGTCTGGCATGTAAAAGCACCTTTAACGTGATTATTAACTGCAGGCTTCTAAGTTAAGGTCAGAGAGCATCAAATTTCTTGCTCCTGAAGTTATATTCTCTTGCCTGAGAGGCTGTAAACTGACCCTGGTACACTGCTGGCCACTAATCTCTTACATTCTGTTTATGATAATAGACTGAGTAGAAGTTTCTGCTTGTGTAGAAAAGGCCCAGGTAGACAGCAAAACAAAAGCCAGGTGGCTAGATTTAACTTTTATAATTAATGCTGAAGGGTAATAAGACCTGTGTAAAGTATGCCAATGAAGAGTGCAGATAGTAAAGTCCCAGCTTATTGTCAGACAGCTGTAACTAGCACTGAGGCAGAAAATACCTAGCGGGAACATTTATACAATGTTATTTTGGTGGCTTTTTCAAAGTCAAAAGGCCTTATGGTTATCAGCAAATTAAAAATACAGTTTTATATTATTTCGTCAATATATTGTTATTATTTTTAGCATCAGTATAGCCTTACTGATTGTGAAAATGATGAAAGTTAACCTTTTGATTTCTTCACTGCACTGCCAGCTTCCTGCTTTCTCTGTTCTCTGTGGCCAAGCTGTCTTCTAGGTCCTGTCTTCCTCCCTTCCCCACCTCACAACCTCAAAACCACTTCACTTTGGAATGCCTGAGTGCTTTATCCCATCCTCCCGGCTAGATGAGTCACTAGTTCATTTGATTTATAACTTTCAGTGATAATACATTATTATGTAAAATACTAATGTTACTAGATATCACTCACGGGTATGTTAAAAGTTTTTCCTTTTTTCTTTTTTGCTTTGTTTTTCTTTTCTAACATATGGTCTTACTCTGTAGCCTGGGTGGAGCTGAAGTCATTATGTGTCCCAGGCTTGCTACAAACTTGTGGTAGTTATTCTGCTTCAGTCTTCCAAGTGAATGATGGGATTACAGGCCAGTTACTTAATCACTCTATTTGGCCTGGTGAGAATTCCACTGAGTATTGTGTAGTAATTAATGCAGAAGGTTTTTATTTATCTTTTAATGAAGAAATCTGGCTTTTGGCTGTTAATTTACAGTTAGTCATTGATATGGAATATTCTGGGGAAGTTTTATTCAGTTTAATTTTTTGGTTCTAATTTCTGACAGTTTTTTTTTTCAGGAATCAATGTGTTTTTTTAAATGAGTTTTGAATTTTGCATTACATTTATTTACTTTGTGTGTTGTGTGAGCATGCATGCCACGGCATGTTTGGGGGTCAGAGGACATCTTGTTTTGTTTTTTTCTCTGCTTCCATGATGCAGGTCTGAGATCAAACTGAGGACTTTGAGTACATGCAGGTGTCTTTACCCACTGAGCCATCTTACCAGCCCAGATGTGAAATTCTTTTTCAGATGTAAAATTTTAACAGTGATGACCTACTAAATATTTTCTTTAATTTTTCAAGAGAAACTACTTGGTCATATAAACTATTCACTTTCAGACAGTTGAACTTGGCTGTTTACTTTTTTTTTGCAG